ACCTCTGACTCAGGAAAATGTGCTGAGCCCCCAACCTTGCCCTCCATGTAGCAAGGAATCAATCTGAAGTTAGCTGTCAGGCTTTGGATGTGCTTTACAGTATCAGTGGAGTGCAGAGCATAGCAACCGCCTTGGGAGGGCCTATCGGCCATAGGAACCTACCTGCAGCTGCAGCTGGCCAATCAACATAGGACAGGTTACCCAAGCTCAGAAGTGCACCAATCCTCAGACTGTTGTGGACCCCAGACACTCCCCTTGCTCTATCCCAATAAATTCCCTGCCCCATGGTTCCTCTGGGTCCTTCTCCCTCCACTCATTGTGTTGGACAGAGGACCTGAGTTAATACAGTTAACTCATTAATTAATTAAAAACTCTTTGCTTTTGCATTAGATTGGGTCTCTTCGTGATTTGGGGATTCAGAATTTGGGCACAACACTGGGAGAGAGAATATGAGAACTTTTTATTTATGTATGTATTCATTCATTTTTAGAATATGAGAACTTATAGACAGATCTTTCAAAATACCAAATTCAGACAAAGCAGAAAGAAAAAGGAGAGCATTCAAAATTTAGGGGACACCATTGAATAAACAAACGTTTCTATCATTGCCATACCCAAGCCAAAGAATAAAGTCTAAGGGTGTAGAAAACCCATCAAATAAAATACTAACAGAAAACTTCCTTCCCTAGCCTCAGAAAGGCATGGTCATCCATGCACAGAAGACTTATGGAACCCCCAAAAGACATGACCTGAAAGGGTCCTCACGATTACATAACCACACTGACAAAAGGATAGGCCAGCACTAGTGTCAGGGTGCATAAAAATGGTTCTACTTCATCTCGGCTCAAGATCAGAGAGTTCAAAACTGTCCTTAGTAAGTCATAAGACCTAAAGAAAGATCTAAGCAGTGGCTACAGTAGGATGTTTGATCTTGGCCTTGGGTATCTTATCTAAATAACAACAGACTTGGTCTGAGGTGTGGTTACTCTTGACCTTCAAAGCCTGATAATGAGAAATTAAATCTAAGGTATGGTTACCAAATGCTTGGAAAATTAAGGAAGAAAATATGTTAGTTTTATATACATGATACCATGTTTCCCTTTTCCATTGGGGTATATAAAAACGGTGAAGAATAAACTTGGGGCATTCAGTAGTCACTGGATTGCCCTTCTGACTCTATACCGTGTCTCTGTCTTTTTCTTAGTGTCTTTACCAGCCATTTCTCAATCTACACTCCCCCTTTCAGGTACCAACAGGGCAAGTAGACTGGATCCAACTGAAGCCCGACAAAGACAAGCTACAACAAGCTAGGACTAGAGCTCAGTACTAGAGTGCCTGGCTACTAGCATACATAAGGTCTTGGTTTAAATCCCTGGGACAACAACAACAATAATAATCAACAAACATCAAAGTACTAACAAAAAAGGTGCTATACAATCTACAAAATGCTAAATCACATTTCATAGCAGTCCCATTAGATTAAGAGATTTCTCAGCAAAAGCCCTGAAGGCAAAGAGAGCACAGAATGACATATTTCAAGTTGTAAAAGAAAACAACTGCCAATCAAGATTACTATACTCAGCAAAGCTATCCTTCAGAAGTGAAGGGGAAACAAAGATCTTCCAAGATAAGCAAAAACTGAGGAAATTCAGAATTACCAAACCAGCCTTACAATGGGGTATTCAGAAGTGAAAGAAAGAAGATACACAAAAGAGATACACAATCCAACATTGTCAGTACAATGAACCATCATATCACAAAGATGAGTAAAAGGGAAACAAAAAGTACTCAAAACAACTAGAGGAAAATCAACAAAATGGCGACCATAACCCTGGATCTTTCAATAAAAACTTTGAAGGAGAGTAGACTAAATCTCCAATTAAAGCATACAGGCTATTGGAGTATGGTAATGTATTTCTATGCCTATAACCCTAGAGCTTGAGAGGTTGAGGCAGAAGGATTGTGAGTTCAGGGCTATCCTGGCTACATAGCAAGTTTGAGATTACATAGTGAGACTATGAGCCTTGGCTACACAGTGAGACCCTGTCTCAAAACAACAACAAAAGAAACAAAACCCACCAACATCTGCTGCCTATGAGAAACTCCCAACACCAGTAAAGGCAGCAACAAAAATTAAAGGATAGAAAAGATATTTCAAGCAAATGGAAGAGGCAAGATTCAGTTACATTGAAAGAGAGAGCACATACTTCAGCTGATATCACAGAAGTTCATAGTAACATTAAAAAGTATTTTATAACCACGCTAACAAATGGAAAAATGTAGGAAAAATTGGACACATCTCTGGAAAATATATAAAATGAATAAACCAATAATAAGTAATAATGTTAGGTACAAGGAAGGAGTAGGGAGTATGAGCAGTAGAGGCCTATAATCCTGGTACTTGGGTAGCTGAGTCAGGAGAAACACAAGCTTCACCCTTATTCCAGGCCCAGCTACTGGCCAAGTAGGATCTTGGTCTGCAAATGGCTACTTTCCTGCTATGTTATCACATGGTGAAGATGGATATCTTTCTTGTCTGTTTTCTTTTTCTTATAGGCTATACAGAATTTCCCAACTATACCTAATTACTTCCCGTAGTCCTCACTGCACATAACCATCACACTGCAGGTTAAGTCTTCCAACATATGAGCCAGGCAGTGGTGGCTCAAGCCTTTAATCCCAGTACTGGGGAGGCAGAGTTAGGCAATTCTCTGTGAGTTTGAGGTCACCCGGGTCTACTGAGTGAGTGCCAGGACAGGTTCCAAAGCTACACAGAGAAACCCTGTCTCAAAAAAGAAACAAAAACAAAAAGATTTCAACATATGAATGGGTAGGGCTGTAAACATTCAGTGTCTAACAGATGGCAGAAATCATGAGACTGGATTTTTAGTTTTAGTTCACTGGTCATACGATGTTGAAAGGTGAGCTCACTGCCTGGACTTATGCAAACAGAAGGATTATGTGGGACAATATCCAAAGTGGTTTCTGATCCTAAAAAGGTGCCATTCTAAATGCCATCTTGCCCTTACCAGAATTCAGGTACACCAGGCCAGAGCATAATGGTACTAATCTGGATTCTTAACAACAGTTTATGTTAAATTATCTATCACTATGACAAAATACTAGACACAAACAACTTAAAAGGGGGAAAGACTTTCATATTTTGAGGTTTCAGTTCAAGATCAGTTTGATCCATTGCTCTTTGGTCTGTAAGGCAAAAGATCAAGTGTGCAGAAAGCAAAAATGTTTCATCCCATGACAACAAATACAAGTCTTTATTCAAAGACACTTTCAGTCCCTCAAACTAGCAATTTCCCTCCTCTGAGTTCACAAAACATCTTCTTTGCACCTTTGTGTTAGATTCCTGTCACTGTGATATAATAGAGGAAAAGTCTGTATTCACCTCATGCTTTCAGTCTGTTGTCATTTGACTCATTACTGGGCCTGTGGTGAAACAGTGTCGGAAAGCCCATGGCAGTCCACAATTATGCACCTCCTGGTAGTAATCAAGAACCAAAAAAGAGGGGGAAAGGGAGCTAAAACCCAATGTCTCTGTCACTGACTCCCAATGCTCAAAAGTTCTAGAAAACTCAGTATTCAGACTTGGTTCCCTATGTACTCAACACCAAACACAAAGCATATGTGCTCAATGACCTAAATTCAAGCAGAATTCACCTCTTTTTTGTTTTTGGTTTTGTTTTGTTTTGGTTTTGTAGACCAGCGTGGCCTCAAACTTACAGAGATTCGTCTGCCTCTGCCTCCCCAAGTGCTGGGATTAAAGGTGTGTGCTACCACCTCCTGGCTAGAATCTGCCTCTTAAAGAACCTGTCATATCCTGGTAACTCCACAGGCTTGGTGACCAAGCCCTTAGCATATAACCTTCAGGGGATATTTATAATCCAAGTCCCTAACACCTTGTCTTAGAAGATTTATTTTTGCTAGGTGTCGGTGGCACATGCTTTTAATCCCAGCACTAGGGAAACAGAGGCAGGCAGATCTCTGTGAGTTCGAGGTCAGCCTGGTCTACAGAGTGAGTGCCAGGATAGCCTCCAAAGCTACACAGAGAAACCCTGTCTCAAAAAACAAAACAAAACAAACAAACATAAGATTTATTTTTATTCAAGTGCTTCTGGGTGTATGCCACATGTGTGTGGGTACCCACAGAGGTCAGCAGGAGGTGCCATATCCCCTGGAGCTGGATTACAAATGTTTGTGTGCCACCTGATGTGGGTGCTGGGAACTAAACTTGAGTCCTCTGTCAGAGCAGCAACAAACACTCTTAACTACTGATGCCTCTCTCCAGTCCATTAACACTTCTTTTAAGTAGTTTTTAAGTAGTTCAACATTTTCTTTTTGTTTCATTTAATCAAGATGACTTTAGAATCCCCCAAATCAAAAGTTCTTGGGGGAAAAAAAAACAGTATTTAGTCTTGGTCCTTTGTGAACTCAATACCAGACACAAATTATAACTCAATACATCTTTTATGAATTGCAGCAAGACTAGTAAGAAACATGAGAGGACTCCTAGCAGACATTGGCATCTATCTAAATTGAGACAGTGAGTAGAATGGAGAATTTGAGTGTAATGAGGACCTACTATGTTTTGAGTAGCATGCTAAATACAGCTTCATTCTTTGTCTTATTTATACCTTCCCCCATGTATGTATGAAAAAGGCTGAATATATAATTTGACAGAGTGCTTGCCTGGCACCCTGAAGGTCTAGGTTCCCTTTCCAACACCATATATGTTTGGTGGTGTATGTCTGTAATCCCAACACTCAGGATGTGGAGGCCGGAGGATGAGAAGATCAAGGTCATCCTTAGCTGTTACATAAGGTGTTTAAGGTCAACCTGGCCTACTTGAGACCCCCATCTCTGAAACAAACACACACACAAAGGAACGAATTAAGAGTCAGGATCAGAATTTGGGAAGCCTGTGGTCACAGACAAGTCTATGTGGCCCGTCCTCTCTGTGGATTCGCACACAAGCCCCTCCCGCGGCGCCCGCGTGACGTCATCACGCGCGGCCGTGCTGGCGCCCTCGGGGGCCTTTAAATGAGGCAGTCTTAGGCGCGCAGCAGTGAGTTCGGCAAAGCTTGTGTAGAAGGGTCGGCTTTTCCCCGGGCCAGAGCAGCTTGGGACCCTGAGGTGGGCGGAAAGGCAGCTGCGCGCGGACTCGGGCTCGCCGGGGACGCGAGGGGCGGGAGAGGGAACATGGCGGCGCTGGTCTGAGGCAGCGCCTCACCGGGCTTTCCTCACAGGCCTTCTTTGGAAGCTTTCCTCACATGGTTTCCTCGGCGGCTTCCCTCACAGGCCCCGAGCGGCTTTCTTCACTGGTCTCCTTACCTTCGCCGATACTTTTCTCTTCTTTGCCTTCCCTCAGTTCTCTCGGCGCTCACCGTCCTGTCCCCTCCCCCTCAGCCCCACTGCAAGGGGAAACGTGAGGTAGCTAGGTTGAGAAGGAAGCCCATGAGACCTCACAGGTGCCCAGAGGCCCAATTCCTGCATTTGATTCTTAACTCTATCAAGCTCTCACAGGACAAGCACCCAATGTGGAGAAATCAAGCTGCAGCTTGAGTTGTGTATCTGATGAATTGTTCTCTTCAATTGCCAGCGCCTGAGTCTCATAAGTGCAAAGTTCTCTTTGATAGAAGGTCCTTGGGAGCCAGAGAGCTTCTTCTGTGCAATGTGTGTCAGGATCTCCCCCATAACAGCATATGACTGGAGGAGATGGAAACAAGATTTAAAATGGTGCTAAGGGAGTAAGGGAAAGCTAAGACACAGGTCTGCCATGGTGTAAATGATTCGAGAACACCTTTCTGGTTTGGGTTCCTGTTAAACTCAGCTAATGTCTCAGTAACACTCCTTGCATGAATTAAAGAAAATGACTCCTCCTGTGTCATCTTAGCTCCAAAGAATCGTGGCAGTGTTCTGCTATTTGTTTTGTTTTAGTCAGTTGAGGGTAGATGTTAAGCAAAGGTTCTTGCTCACCCAAGTTAATAATCTAGGTTTGATCTTGACCTTTTGTTTTTTGTTTTTCAGTTGAATGTAGATTCTAGGAAGGATCCGATCCTCACTCTCTTGGATGCCAGGCCGAAATATTGTGGGCTAGAGTGAAGGAGAAATCTAGGAAGATGAGCTCTAGCATAACCATGAGTGAACCAAAGCTGAACTGGTGAGTCGGACCTCTTCCTAATGCACTTGGAGGAGTGAGACAGGGACAGTGGGTATCATAGGAAGGGAAGATTTCTGGCTTGAGAGGTTTTTAAAAAAATTCTTTTTCTGGGTCTCAGAATTTGCCCTATTCATATACCAAGTCCTTTGTGGGAGAGAGGTGCTGAAATTGTTCTCAACATTTTCAGTTTTTAATTCCTTTACTCAAGCAGCATTGACCATAACATGTCAGTCTCAATTATAATGGGCTTTTCTGGAGCAGGTGGGGATTGAAAAGGATCTCTCTGTGTAACCTTTGCCTATGTAGGCCTGGCTGGCCTGAAACTCACTATGGAGATCAGGCTGGCCTTTAACTCAGAAAGATCCACCTGCCTCTGCATCCTGGTGCTGAATTACAGGTGTGTGTCATCATGCCCAGCCTCTATTGAATCATTTAAGATCCATGCTAGTACTATAACATGTTTATTCAATGCTGTGCAGATACTCCTGCACACCCCTGGCACTGTGAAACAAAAAATGATTTTGTAGCATTAAAGACCTTGAAGCTCTTTCTTCCCACGGAGTCCTACTGATCAGTGTCCTCCCTAGATTAATTAATCTCAGTATTTTCAATTTTTTTCTGTCATTTGCATTGGCTGTATTAGTGCCAAGCTAATTTTAATGTTATAAAACTCATCACTTTGGAGGTAGTTTTAACAAACTCCCGTCATTTACTCCATTGAACAAAGTCAAATAAAGTTAACAATAAACAGGGTAGCCAGTGTTTTCACTTGGCACAGTAGTACATGAAACAACAACTCGGTGAGCCACTTTTGTCAGCAAACACTTTCACATTACCATTCATGGCCTGAGATGAGCTTTGTCTCTGACAGACCCTTGCTTATGCTTCATTCTGTTCATCTTTAGTGTTCAATTTCTGAGGTTTAATTGTGTATTATAGGAAGACAGATTGTTGAAGTTTGAGGATTTCATACTGCCCCAAGCTTAAAGCTATCCAAGAAATAAAACATCTAAACACAGGATCTGGCACATGAATTTAAACTGACTAGGGGCGATTGTCTGGGAAAAGCTGGGGTAGAGGTCCTAAATTACAGTTGTAGCATTATGCTTCTTTGTCTAACATGAGAGTTTTGAATTTTCAAGTGCAAATAAATTACTTTATTTCACAGGGATGTTACACCAAAAAATGGCCTTAAAGCATTTTTCTCTCCAGAAAATTATAAAGATCATTCCATGGCTCCAAGTTTAAAAGAACTCTATATTTTGTCTAACAGGTAATGTTCATTTGGTTATTTATTTTCACATTTCATTGCTGTTTTTCTGATAGCTAAAATTTTATGACTATTTATATTAGTAAACATTCAAATTATAAAAATGTGAAAAATAGAAAATAGAAGGAAGCTACTGATAACATTTTGATATTTACTTTTTTCCATACATGGCTGTATGTTTGTACACACAAAATGAGATCGTAGCTGTAATTACTTCAGAACACCATAAAACTTTGATTTACTTTTATCATTAAATATCAGTGTTTTGTATTTGTTTCCGTGCATACATATATTTCCTCTTAATCTTAATTAATAATTGCCTACTCTTTATATATATGCCTTTAGTTTCTATAGCAAGTCCTGTGAGAACTTTTTTTAAATTTTGCAATTATTTCTATATGATAAAGTCATATGAATTTAGTCAGACTATGTGTATATTTTATACTTTAATAGATGGTACCAAGTCAAAAGAAATTTTGTCTTCTGTGGTATAAAAATGACTACTCAGCAATAATTTCAGCTCTTCATGCTCACATGCCTGTAGCAGCTCCTTTTCCCTTTTTGATTGACTGTGTCTGTTGGATTGTGGGTTACTCTGGAGATCAGAGATGTGGAGCTAGGGAGCCCCTCTAAAGGAGTTTAGCTCTGGTGTGACCTTGTTAGCTTTCACAGTGAAAGGACTGAATCTGCTCATCTTTCTTCTGCCTTCTCGGTGTTCTTTCAGTCAATTATCCTACTTATCTTCTATCTTCATTTTATCTTGCTTTCAGTCATTTTGATCAACATTTGAATATACTGAAATTTCTGTTTTAAATAGTCCTTTTCCCATTCCTTTCTGTTACCTCTTCTTTCATTTGACTTACACTACTTTAGAGGTGTATATATGTTGACATGAAGTGAGGGATAAAATTTATGTAAGGCATATAGAAAATATTAACACAACAGTGATGGTCCTTCCACAGCAATAATTATTTTAACTGCAGGTAGATAAGACTTCTCGATGAAAAGGCAAATCAGCAGGTGAATTAAAAAACAGGAAAAAGTTTATCAAACTTCTCTGGCATTATCAGTGAGCTTTTGACTGTGGAACTCTTCCCCTCAGTTTTCTCTCCAGTCTTCTGGTTTTTGTAGTAGTTCTCAGATTCTTTTGCCATCATCTCACAGTGCCTGATCATTAGACATACTTTTAAGCTTTTTAGAAGTACTGATGTACTCTTAACCTCGACTTTTAAATCCAAACCACTGAGAATCAAGGATGCTACTATGGACTTGACTTAGTTTTTATAATAAATGTGTGTGTTTGAGTGCCTTGTACTATGCACATCAAAACGCTCTTCTTTTTTATATAATAGGAGTTATGGTACCATGCCTTACATATCTAGATCATAGATTCTTAGCTAAGGCATATATGTGTATTTATTTTGATAGATCCATATATGTATGCATCTGTGGATTTTGTTTTCAACAAATTTTATCATTTCCTGGAGATGACTAATTTCATAAAACTTTCCAATTATTTAGTACCTTTGATTATTTAAACCATATAATTTTATCAACATTCTTTACTTTTTATCTGAAATACTCATAAGGTCAAAGGAGAAATAGTCTGGAGTTGGTCTGGTGATATGCTCAAACCGTAGCCCCAGAGAATTGCCAAGGGTCCTAAACTAACTTGACATCCCAAGTTATTGCCTGCAAAATTTCAAGGGAAGCAGCCAGAGCCAGGGAAGTGCTGACTCAGCACAGTGCCCAGAAATGATATACCAGAACATTCTCAAGTGACTCCACACAAATGCCTAAGGATTCAACAGAAATGCTTAGTGGTGACCCAGCAAAACCACCAAACAATGGGTCAGCAAACACGCCAAGTGGATAGCCCAGCAAAAGCCCAAGTAATTCAGTGTATTGGCCAGTTAAATGTCATTTTGATACAGGTTAGAGTCATTTTGGAAGAGGAGACCTCCATTGAGAAAATGCCCCCACCAAATTGGCTTATGGGCAGCCTGTGGTGTGTTTTCTTGATTGATGATTGATGTGGGAGAGCCAACTCAACTGTGGGCTATGGTACCCCTGGGATTAGGTGCTATAAGAAGGTAGTCTGAACAGTCATGAGGAGCAAGCCAGTAAGCAGATGTCCTCCATGGCCTCTGAATCAGTTTCTGCTTCCAGGTTCCTGTCCTCTTTGAGTTTGTGCTTTGATTTGCCTCAGTGATGAACTGTGATATGAAACTGTAAGCTTGAAATAAACCCTTTCCTCCTCAAGTTGCTTTTAGTCATGATGTTTTATCACAGCTATAGATACCCTACATAAGACTCTCAGCAAAATGCTAAATTGTGGCTCAGTAAAACCCAAAGGGTGACTTGAGAAAAGTGCTCTATGACAACTCAGCAGAAATTCCAGGTGGTGAATCTGGAAAAAATTGCCCAAAGATGGCTTAACAAAATTTCCAAAAGATGACTTAGCAAAATTGTTCTATAATAATTCAGCAAAATTGCTAGAGACTCAACAAAAATCTCCAACAATGGCTCCACAAAAAAAAGGCAGTAATCCAGTAAGCCACCAGTTAGCTACTTAGAACACTGATCATGAGTAGGCAATAATACAAATGATAACTAAGCCTGACATCTAGCAATGACTGTGCCACCTGGCACAACCCTGAGATGATGGCACCATACCCAACAGTGAGCACAAAACCCAGTCATGACTAAGAATAATGTACTCTGAGTAGAGAAAAGTCAGGAGCAATTATGTGTTCAACCATTGGCTTTATTTTCCCAAAGAAAAAAATTCCCACAGCCCAGAGTCTATAACAAAAATCTTGAAAAAGGATTGATAGCAGTCGTCTCCTTAATGTCAATTGGTTAAACATATAAATCACACCAGGATCTCTGACAGACTAACTTGAGTTTCAAGTAGCCAACTGAGGCTCAGGAAGATCTACACACAAGTGCTCAGTTTAGGACAAGTGGACTAGACTGTGTGATGCCTGAGAACAGAGTCCCAATGTCCCATAATCCAGGAAAATACCCACACAATTACGTTAACAGGCGGTTGGTTTCAAAACAAATTTCGGTAACTCATACATCAGCACCTGCTTTGGAGCCACAGGCAGCAGTGTCACTTTGCCTGTGTCTATACCAAGTCACAACTGTTACACTGTAGAGTCACAGAGGAACAGGGAATGAAAATCTGGGGACTAGATGGCACCTTGTTCATATCCTCACTCATAATAGAGCAAAACTAAGTCTGGACAAGCTAAGTAGAAACTCAATCACATAACTTTTGGAAGAACATTGTTGTAGAGAAAAAAATCAAACATACTGCAGAATTACAAATTTGGTGGGGACTACCATTATACCCAGTTCTTGGATTCTGTTAACATCATATTAAATTCACTTGTTCATCTGCTTTTAACCCTCTTGTGTGTCATTACACCTTCTTTGGTTGGCTTTCAAAGTGAACTGCTAACATTTGTGCTCCTTCCCTTAAAGTAGCATAGTGCTCTTTTTTTTTTTCAATTTTCACCCATTTAATATTTCAATTTATATATATTATGATATCAGGAAAAGTTTCAAAATCACTGGACCCATAAATGTAAATTGACATGTTAGTTTTCTAAGGTCCTCTCTCCAAGGCTTTTGATACTTTTTTTTTTTTTTAAATGTGTGTGGGTATGTACAGTGCCAGTGGATACCAGGAGAGAATACCAGATCCCCTGGAACTGGAGTTACAGACAATTGTGAGCTACTATATGAGTGGTAGAAATTGAACCTGGGCCTTCTACAATAGCAGCCAGTGCTATTAACCAGTGAGCCATCTCTCCAGTCCCTTTTAGGATTCATGAGGGCAGACCAGGCAATGACAGAGGCACCAAGAAACACGGGGCTCCGTCTGCTGCATGCTCTCTCCCAGCATCCTGTTTTCTCATTCCAACTGTTGGAAGCTTCCTCCTTCCTCCAGGAATGATTCTAAGCATCTGTAAGGAGTACATGTGCCTTGTAAGGAGAGAGATTATTAAAAAGCTCTCTGATCTCCCTCTTCTCAGCACCTTTCCTATTTCCTAAACCCTTTAGTTTGATTTGTGGGCTTACTCCCCCCTCCCCCACCTTTTGTTAATGTTTTAGTCTAGCATACAAAAATAATGGGTTCCAGTGTGGTATCTTCATATATTCCATTATTCTGTGTTCTCATTCATTCCTTCTACCCACGTTCTCCCTACTCCCTAAGCGGTTTCCCTTTTTCCCCAGATAATAACCCTTTGTTTTCTTACTGCATGTAATCCGTTATTCTCTGGATTTCCCACCTGGCTTAAAAATCTCTTCCTCTCCTCCATGATCCAGTTAAGTTGAACACAAATATATAAAGTTTTGAATGTAAGACCATCATTTGTTTCTCTTAGTATGGCTTATTTTGCTTAACAGAATGATTTCTAGTTGCCTCCATTTTCTAGTAGATATTCTGATTTCTTTTAACAGTTGCATAAAATTCCATTGGAATTTTTGTCTTAGCCTTCATCATTTCAGATACAAATTTCTGACTTTATCTCTCTCTTTTTTTCTTTTTGAGACAAGATTTCCTCATGTAACTCTGGCTAGCCCAAGCTCACTCTTTAGACCCATCTGATCTCATCTTTCTGCATCTGCCTCTTGAGTTCTAGGATTGCAGGTGTGGCCACCATGCCTGGCTTTAATGTTAGTCTTCATTCTATCACTGCTTTTTACTGAATGCTTCTTTGCAAGTATAGTTTTGCTCAGCATTTCTTAGGCATGAGCTATATAAAGGAGGGGATATTTTTTTCTGGCAGTTAGCTTTAGAAAAACAACAACAACAAAACACCTAAAATCTTTTTATTAGAATATGCTTTCCTGTCTTTAGATTTCTTAAAATATAGCACAGTTTATTAGTATAATTTGCATTTTAATGTGAAAGAGAAGCACAAAGTATTGATATGTGTTACTAGATTTTTTGTTTGTTTCATCAAGGAACTGATTTAGGGTTCAGTTATTTAGAACTTTGCTTGTTGGAAAAAATAACATTTTTCATTATTATCCATAATATACAGTGATTTTTGTGTTCTCTAGCATGCTGGAAAGAAATACCTTTAATTGTGTTGATTTCAGGACTGTGACTTTTTTATTCAACCTCATTACATCAGCAAAGGGCATTTTATTTATTTTTTATTATTTTTGTTTGTTTGCTTTTTTGAGACAGGGTTTCTCTGTGGCTTTGGAGGCTGTCCTGGAACTAGCTCTTGTAGACCAGGCTGGTCTCGAACTCACAGAGATCCATCTGCCTCTGTCTCTGCCTCCCAGTGCTGGGATTAAAGGCATGGGCCACCAATGCCTGGCTGGGCATTTTACTCTTAACTTTAGTATAAAAAGCATTCACTAGACTGCTTTAACTCCATACATGTGTGTAAGATGAAAGGGCCACCAGAGTAGTGCAACGGTAGAAGTTCCTGTGAATAGAGTAGAAAGTCAGTATGGAAGAGCTGTTTATGTAGAAATAAACACTTGCCTTTATTTAAAATTAAGCATTTTAGTTACAGATCTTTATAATTGAGTTTTAAGCCAACATGATACTGAATTGTTCTGAATATGATGAGGAGAAATAGTTGCTGTGACCTGATTAATGTGAAAGAAAACTTAAGTCCAAGATTGATGTAGACTTTGAGGTGGAGCCCAGAAGTATCATTTCCAAATGTGGATTTTAAAGAAACTGCCAAACTAGTCAACTTAGTGTCTAGCAAACTCACAGTTTGGAACATTCCTTTATTTCATAGCAACTTGAAGTAAAAAGGAAAATGGTAGTTGACAAAATGAAGGCAGAAACTTGAAACTATCAGCTGAAATAAAATGCAGTGGTATAGTGTGTAGGTAGTGCTATTGGGTACTCGGGGCTGCACCTGATGAAGATTTTGACAGCGCTGCACTTGAAAATGATCTTGATGTGCTGCTGTTTCCTTCTGTGCTGCGTGTAGCCAATTTAAGCGGCTAGAATGTCTTGACATTCCTGCTCGGGCATATCTGAGTCAGCATCTCGTTGCTGCAGCAGCTTAATTAAATTTGCCAGTTTGTGCCAGGAGGACAGACATGTTCTCATATTCAGAGAGACAGCTGTGAAGCAGGATTGTTAAGAGTTGCGGACACAATACTGTTAGGTTTGAATAGCTCTCAAGACATATTCTAGTGAGAAATCAATTTGCTGTAATACATTTTTACCAAGATCAGCAGTTAATATTCATTTTGTTAACCTAAAATGAGCTTATTTTTATACAGTTATCGGAGAAACTTTGAGCTAAGTATGTGTTCTCTTGCGTGTATTTCTGGAGTCAGCCTAAACATCCCAATTTTAATTCCCAAAATTCTCTTCCCATTAACTGATTAGCTATTTGTTGAGTTTTTCATTCATAGTTTATCTCTGAGAGTGTTTTGAAATAATTTTGCTTTATTTGAGGGAGGAAGCTCCTTACCCTCTTCTAAAATAATATTTTCAGACTTTGGAATTTATATCATATTTATTATAGTATTATAAATTAGTAGTTCCCAGTCTTATCAATAAGGTCCAAACCTTCATATTTTTTATAGCAAATATTTTTTAGAACTAATGTACTTCCTTTATTAGCCTAAAATGAGATTGATAGCTAGTTGCCAGAAACATAACTTAAAAATAGCATGATGTCTTAAATACATAATGTGAAATAAAAGGAGAACAATATCTACCCTGCAGTGTGTAGTGCATCTGTGCATAGACATCACTGCAACAGAAGGTGCAATGATTGGGAAGATGGTCCAGTTACAGTGGGTGTGGCATGTGTACAGCCTATTAGAGGTCCCTGATTCAGTTCTCAGCACCAAATTCTAAAATGAACAAGTCTATATTAAGAGCAGAATAAAGCATACTAAGCAATAATCATAGAAAAAAATAAGATGTGGTATCAAAGTAATAGCAAATCAGAATTGTAAAGGACCTTTACAAGTTGTGTGAAACTGTCATATGTTCTGAGCATCCAGTATTCCTCCAAATTATGGCCAACCTTTCCCTCTGGTGATGAGTTAGATGCTGCAACTGGCTTAAAGAAATGAATGCCATAAGGAAAGTAATACTGTCATGATTGCGACCATTGTTCCCTTCTGTCTCTCACTCTTAATCCATGGTCTCCAGACCATTCTTCTCAACCAGCTATTTAGTTAATATATTTTGGAAACCTAATATCATTATGATTATGCATATATATGTATAAATGTGTATATGTGTGTGTGTGTGTGTGTGTATGATATAGTTTTATATGGATGTGATTTTCTTTCATTTGTCAAACCATTAGTTTAAGATCCTGGCACTTGAAGATTGTACTGTAATCTGCTGGTTAAAGCTCTTGGGCATAGCATACACCAGAAATTATAAATATCAATGAATATTAGTGAATAAGTCAGTAGACATCCATCTTTCTCATTAATTTCCTTTCTTCCATGAATTATCATTGTTTAATTTGGAGCCAAGTTAAAGAATCAATGACATGGTGGAAATCAGAGTTGTAGAGACCAAGGAAGTAGAGTTTTTTGATAGATTTCTATTCTCTTACTGAAATTGTAGACGAAAATGACTGAATAACAAAGATAAATTTATGAACAAGAGAGTACTCTATAATTGTATGTCTTACTAGATATAGTAAGGTGACTTTTTTAGTTGGGGGGTGTCATTTTACAAACAAGTCTAATATCAGGCTCTCTGACTGCTAATACTTGTTGCCTTCTCTTTGAACACACCTTTTGGATATGCTGTAATTTTTTTTTCTCCGCTTCCATAAAAAACATAGGGACTTTTCTGTGGATTTAGCCATATACGTGACAGATAGGGGATTGTCCAGTCTTTCTAAAATCACTACTGCTTCCATAAAATGTAAAAACAGTTATTGGAATTTTAAGTTCTGAGATAATCAGTGGAAACCAGAAAATTTAGAATCTCAATGAATTAATTAACTTCAAGTGTGTGACCCCGTTTTATTCTGTTCTTAATGTCCTTTGTTCACCATATTAACTGATGCACCTTACAGAAGAAATTAAGCATTAAAAGCCAAATAGCATTGCAATAAATAAATGTTAGTATAATTCACAAGAATAATTTCCCCTTTTAGTAAAAGGGGAAGTTCCAGATAGAATAGCTGGTTGAAGTGTGCCTCTCCTTCTCTCCATCAGGTGGCTGAAGGTAAGCCTGCAATGAGGTCTTTTCATGCAGAATACTTAATTTACACTAAATGACTGAACATCAAAATGCAGGTGGCAGAGTTAGATAATAATCCAGAAGTTACTGTTAATCATGCCATATTATTCTCCCTTTTGATTGGGAATCATAAGTTTCATGATAGTAATCTTCATGTGAAAAGCACATATTTGTAAATTGTATTTTTTTTCCAGACGTATAGGGGAAAATTTGAATGTCTCAGCAAGTTCTGTAGAAAATGAGCCTGCAGTTAGTTCAGCAACTCAAGCAAAGGAAAAAGTTGGGATGATTCTCCTTCCAAAACCAAGAGTTCCTTATCCTCGTTTCTCTCGGTTCTCACAGAGAGAGCAGAGAGCTTATGTGGATTTGTTGGCTAAATATGCAAAGATCCCCTCAAGTTCCAAAGCTGTTGGAACAAATACAAATGAATTCTTGCAGTATTTGGTATGTATTCTTTTTATCCATTTCAGTAAAAATACCAAGAATCAGGAAATAATTCTATTTTACATTTCCTTTCATTTGTCTTTGTCATTGTTAATTTGTTATTTACTTCTCTTCCTATTAGATACAGTCATATTTACAGAAATGGGAAAGTAAGGACTTTAAAGTGTTGACACCTTAACTCTCCTGTTGATTTTGTGTGTAGTTCTGGCACTTGCTCTGCTGTGCAGAGGCCTTACTCCAGGTCACTTTACATCCTAACAAGATGTTTTGTTTTGTTTGTCCCTGTAATTGTTATTTTAAGATAGATTCTTTAAATGAAGTTTTTTTTAAATAAAATTTTAAGATCAAATGCTGCACGAGTTTTTAAAGTTTTGGTCTGTAGTTAGGGATGGATAAATTGTTCTTCAAAAGGTTTGAATTATTTGTTTATACCACTCTAAGAGGTTTTGAAGGTACCTTCACCAACATTAGACATTGTTCTCTCTTCTTTGGCCTTTGTTGCATATGAGGAAATGGGTGATTTCTTGTTTTACCTAAATAAATATATTGAATACCAATGAAAACAAACGTCTTCCATGTACTTATAAAGCATTGTTTTCTATTTTTTTCTTACTGTTTTGTTTTGGAACAGTGACTTACATATCCCAAGTTGTCTGCAATCATTGATAGCCAAGGGTGACTGAACAACTAATCCTGCATCACCTCCAGAGTACCAAGGTTGTAGGAGTGTGCCACCACACCCAGCAATAAGCATTTGTAGTTCTATAACTCTCCTAGATGTACAGTTTGCTCATTTCTCCCTTAGATGTTTATCTTTTTAAAAAATAGAAAGCAGAATTTCCTACACATATATTGTAATTTTGGTCATTTGTTTTTCTATTTCTGTGGAGTTTTTTGTTGTTTGTTTGTTTGTTTTCTTTTCAAGACAGGGTTTCTCTGTATAATAGTCCTGGCTATCCTGGAACTTACCTTGCCAACCTGTCTGGCCTCAAACTCACAGAGTTCTGCCCACCTCTGTGTCTCAAGTGCTTCTGTGGAGTTTTTAATGCATTTGGGGTGTGTGTGTGTGTGTGTGTGTGTGTGTGTGTGTGTGTGTACATGTACCTGTACATGCATGGGATTGAACCCATGCCTTACACAATGCTAAACCCAAGGTTCCAGTAAACTATGCCCTAGAGCTTTTAAAAATATATTTATTTATTGTATGTGAGTGACCTGTCTTCACACAGACCAGAAAAGGGCATTAGATCCCATTACAGATGGTTGTGAGCTACCATGTGGTTACTGGGTATTAAAGCAGCCAGTGCCCTTAGCCACTGAACCATTTCTTCAGCCTTCTTCCCTAGAGTTTTTAATAAGTTTATCATTATTTGGTGACTTTAAAATTATTTTCTTTGTGGTTTCCTCTCTGGATTTGATGTTTTACTCTTTGAAGTTCATATTGTTAGGGCAGCAATTGAGGAGCCAATATTTTTAGTGAACCTTTTTTAAATATGTGTACTTTTTTTAAGGATATGAAAAAACATGTGAATGAAGAAGTTAATGAATTCCTAAAGTTTTTGCAGAATTCTGCAAAGAAGTGTGCACAGGATTATAATATGCTCTCTGATGAGGCCCGTCTCTTCACAGAGGTAAAAGATCACATTTACATAAACTGCTGAGCAATAAATAAGAATAGCATTTCTATAGTGTATGAAGAAGACACTGCAGCTTAGGGAACCATCATCTTTAGCAGTTTTGTTACACAGAGGCCAGTGTACTACTTAGTGTGTGAAATAGTAGAACTCGTGACAGCTTGGTTGCTACCAAGGAAACGATTTGTGTAGACAGAGCTGGGTAGCACAGGGCTACGGGGCTTTAATGTGCTACTTGAAATTATTCACTGTTTAGAACTTAGAAATTTCTTGTTTCTGGAATTTTCCATCAGTCTTTTCATTCTTTGATAGCAGGAACAGAAACTGAAAGTTGACCCACAGGTGAAGGTACACTGTCATACTTAAGAAAACATAATGCACTGTGGTGCCATGTAAACGTTTCAGGGGTCTTTCTTCCTTTCTTCCTTCCTTTCTTCCTTCCTTTCTTCCTTCCTTCCTTCCTTCCTTTCTTCCTTCCTTTCTTCCTTCCTTTCTTCCTTCCTTTCTTCCTTCCTTTCTTCCTTCCTTTCTTCCTTCCTTCCTTCCTTCCTTCCTTCCTTCCTTCCTTTCTTTCTTTCTTTCTTTCTTTCTTTCTTTTTCTTTTACGAGAGCTAAGTAAATGCAGTTGCAAGCTCTGTAACATCCTGTGCGGTTTCACTAAGATTTGCTGATAACTAACCAGGATGGACCTTGCTACTTGGTGCTTATATATTAGTTCCTTTTGTTTGTTGAATTCTTACAATGCCCATGACAGAACTTAAACATCAGAGGTGTGCACTTGATAGAACTACAGACAGGGAGGAAAGAGGCTGTACCAATAAGTATATATAGCTCACTGAGAATTTTAAAGCAGCTTTTCTGTTTCAGCCCACACCTGCAGTAGTTATGAGTGACATCTTGAATAGCACTAAGGTGTGTAGATGGAAGAAGAAAGTGTTAAACACAACAGGGTGTGTGTGCTAGGAAAAGGAATGGGATATGGAACTACAAGATGTGGCTCAGCCACTAAAGGCACTTGCACCAAGCCTGACTACCTGATTTCCATGCTGGGGACTAACCCACATGGTAGAAGGAGAGAGCGGACTTCTCCAATGTCTCTCTCCTACCCCCTGCCTCTCTCTGCCCTCCTACACACACACACACACACACACACACACACACACACACACACACACACACACACACACACACACACCATGTACTGCCCTAGTTATTGATTTGTGATTCGAAGCATTTTATACCTATGTAGAAGGAGGGGATATAGATAGAAAGTTAGAGTTTCTGTGATCTAAAATGCATCCTAGCTGGTTGTGATAGTACATGCCTTTAATCCCAGCACTTGGGAGGCAGAAGCAGGTAGCTCCCTGAGTTCCAGGCCAGCCTGATCTACATAGTTAGTTAAACAAGTCCAGCCAGAACTACACAGTGAGAGCCTGCCTGAAAAATAAAATATATCCTAAAAGGTTTAGGTACCATCCACTGACAAAAGATGACAGGTACCTTAGAAGACAACACATGTGTATGCTTTTAAAATTATCAAAACTTCCTCAGTGATGGCTCTGTTCCTCTGAGCTACCTAAATGTTATCACAAATATATGTTTTTCTTGGGTAAAACTATCAATATTTCCTTCCCAACTACATTTCCTGGTAAGCCATTAATATTTTGGAAATTGGAGAAGACACATAAATACTTAGCAGGTTATCATGTATTCCAGGCTGGTCTTGAACTATTGACCCTCCTGCCTCTATTTTCTGAGTACTGGGATTATGGACATGTGCATATGCAGCCAGCCCCAGCTTCAGTTGTTGCTTTTACTGTTATACATTGTGCAGAAATTTTCATGTGGCTTCATTTCTTTTGTCAGCTTCCTAAGAAGCATTGGAAATACCTTAAGTCTTCTCTATTTAATTTTAAATTTTAATAAGATCACTAATTTTAGTGTTATTAAATATCACTATTTTAGGAAATTAGGTTAAAATTTGTTATGAAAACTGAGAGTAAATCAAATAGAAAATACACAGAATGTGTGGATTATTGGAAGAGAGGATGAGTGAAATGGATCCAACTTTGCAATTAATAAATTTATGTTTATATGTAACCAAAGCATATTTGTTAGGGAGGTATAATACAAATGAGTAGTTCTTATTTTCTGTTTCACAGCAAACTCTAAGAGCTTGCATTGAACAAGTGAAAAAGTACCCAGAATTTTATACTCTCCATGAAGTCACCAGCCTAATGGGATTCTTTCCCTTCAAAGTGGAGATGGGACTGAAGTTAGAAAAGACTCTTCTTGTTTTGGTAAGGTTTATTCTGTGAATGTCTCATGTAGACACTCTGTTTAAACTTTTGGGATACATAATACAAATGCAATAACTTATGTTTTTAAAATACTGCTACTAATTTTGTTTCTTGACTTTTTTTTCTTCCTACTTTCCTTAATACTTCTCAAAACAGGAACTCCACTTAAAGAAAAATTATTCACAAATATTTGAGAAATAAGTATATGGAAAGGATATTTTAGCACTTCCATTCTTCTGTGTTGTGATTTATGCTTCATTTAAAAAAAGTGAAACTCCAAAAGTGGCAGGAGGATTTCAGGAGACGCCTCTGGACCTTTTAGGGTCAATAGCAATTACAAAATTGTTGCTCATGGTTATTAAGCAAAACCATGAATGAATATCTTGGGTTAAGGAGGTTCTAAGATTGACATTTGATTTCAGTTTAGTTTCCTTTGTTGCAAGAAAAATACATTAAGGCTTTCACAGTAACATTTATTTTCCACTTATTTAGGGCAGTGCGAAGTTTGTAAAAACAGCATTTCCCTCAATGCCTGTGAAGTTGCAGCTTTCAAAAGATGACATGTCTTCCATTGAGACTCCACAGCAGAAAGCTGAAGCTTTGCACTACGTAAGTCAGAAGTGGCTTTCATTAAAATTTAAAATAATCCTAATAATTGTACTGCACAAAAGATGTGTGGCCTGGTTATTCTAATATCCTTTCCAAGACAGTCTCTCCTCCTCGTTAGTTTGCGGTGGAAATGTTGTGAGTGACCTAGACAATAAGGTGTGCATTGTTTTGTTTATTTATGAAGCATAAATCATAATACAGAACACAATTGTTTTTCAGGATATTAGTAAAGACCCGAATGCAGAGAAACTTGTTTCAAGATACCATCCGCAGATAGCTCTGACTAGCCAAGCATTATTCACCTTGCTCAATAACCATGGACCAAGCTACAAGGAGCAATGGGAAATCCCAGTGTGTGTGCAGATGATAGCTGTGGAAGGTTTGTGATTTGGTATGCCAGATAATGTACTCAGAAGGACTGGAATTACCTCATTTCAGCTGTGCAGACATAGATGGCTGTGTGCCACACACAGATCTCCATCTTTGTTTAAGGAGAATGAGAATCTGACATTTAAACTCAGTAGAGCTTTTCTTGCTCTAAAGTTGCAGTAGAACAGACTGCTGAGACCTATGGTACCTGCAGTTATGTCAGGGAGCAAGACATAGAGAAGAAATTTTTACTCAGGGTGGCCAGAAATATATGGAAGATGTGCAACTGTTTGTCACTGGGATGAAGGAATGCATCACTTTATTAGACAGTTTGCAGGGCACAAATTTCCAGGACTTTGTTGTCTGTTATTGGGAACTAGAATTAAAGTATATTGACAGAGGCTATCCTCTGCACATAAATTCCTGTATTATTTGATTCATATTTGACCATTTTATCCTCCAGAATAATATTAAACATAAGTATATAAATGAAAGACTGAATATTCATTTATAAAGACTAAACAGAACTACAAGTTAAGAGTTATATGTAATCTTGCTGGGCGGTGGTGGTGCACACCTTTAGTCCCAACACTCGGGAGGCAGAGACAGGTGGATCTGTGAGTTCAAGGCCAGCCTGGTCTACAGAGTGAGTTCCAGGACGGTCTTCAAAGCCACAGAGAAACCCTGTCTCACAAAAAAAAAAAAAAAAAAAAAAAAAAAAACAACAAAAAAAACCAGTTATATATGATCTCTTGTAAAAGTATAAATTGCAAGTTCCTTAAAGAACAAAGAAATAATATACTAGCAGTACAGCTTTAAAGCCCAGAAACCTTTAAACATTGTTAGAACACATTTCTCCTGCTGGATGGGTCCTCTTGTCCTTTAGTACTTAAGGGACTTAAAGACATGTAGTACAAGAGGGGCAGATGCAGGAGCCATGGCACCACTGCCCTGTCCTGTCTTGTGTAGTGATCCTTCTGCCATACATCTTTTTCCTTTTTTATTTAAATAAAGCTACCAGATACTAATCACTACTTGCTTCTCTTTCTGTTTTAAGGTTCCAAACCAGTTAAAGTAATTTATATTAATTCACCACTTCCCCGAAAGCAAATGACAATGAGAGAAAGAAATCAAATCTTCCATGAAGTTCCATTAAAACATGTGATATCAAAAAACACATCTGTCCCAGTCTCTGCAGTCTTTATGGACAAACCTGAAGAGTACACCTCTGAGATGGATGTATGTAACACTTTTTCTCCTTTGCTTAGAATCCACTTGTTTATCCTTTTGGAGCATAAACTTATATTGGGAGTCTCTAAGCTTCCTAGTTAAAATAGTCTTTAATATACATTTTTGAAACATTACATGATGTGTGATTAATACTCCAGTTTTTATGTATCATTTAAAATTTTTTAAAGTTTTATATTTAATCATATGTAGATTTGTGTACCTGCATGTATATATGTAAATGTGAGTGCAGGTATACTCAGATGCCAAAGACATCAGATCCCCTGGAGCTTGAGTTACAAGCTATCTTGAGCCACCTGCTATGGGTGCTAGGAACTGAACCTGGACCTCTGGAAGTGCAGCAAGGGCTCTTAACCACTGAGTCATCTCTAACCGCCTTACCTAAAAAATAATTTAAAAATTGGGACAGTGATCTGAGAATATGTTTTCTGAAACATAATATATAAACAGTTGACAAATATGTGAAAGAATGTTCACTGTCACTAATTGTCATGGAAATGCAAATTAAAAACATAAAGAACAAAGGAGATGGCTCATTCTGTAAAGGGCTTGCTGGAGAAACCTGAGGGTCTGGGTTCAGATGCCTAGCACCCACATAAGAAGCAGGTACAACTGGGCATGCTTGTAGGCCCATGGAGAGAACAGGTGGATCTTTAGAGCTCATTGGCCAGCCAGCCTAGCTGAACAGTGAACTTTAGGTTTAGTGAGAGTCTCTGTCTCAAAAAATAAGGTGGCAAGTGACTGAGGAAGAAGACATTTGGCCTAAACCTTTGAGTGCCACACACCCACATATATACACACAAATACCACAATGAGGTATCATCTTCTCTTAGTAAGAGTGGAAATAACAAAAAGGATACATGACAAGTGCTAGCTCGTCATGTGGGTCGTATTGCCAATCCTAATACTTGGGAAGCTGAGGCAGTACTTGTGAGACCCATCTCAGAATTTATAAGTAACAGGTTAAAAAGACAAATACAGAGGAGGTTGTGGAGTGCTTGTTCAGAATGCAGATTAGCTCGGCCAATACAGGACTTTCCTTAAAAATAAGACTGCCAGGTGTTCCAGCAACTGCCCAGTAAACATGTATTTCAAAGAAAACAGCAAGCCAAAAGCACTTAGACCTTTGTGCCTCTATATTGATTGCAGCACTATGCACAGTAGCCCAGATATGGAATCATTCTGTGTCCATTAGTGGGCAACTAGATCAAGAAAATGAGGTATATGAATACATTGAGATACTAGTAAACCTTTAAGGAGAGGAAAATGCTGTCAGTAGCATTTTCAGTCCCTGAAGATCAAAATGTTAAATGAAATAAGCCATCACAGAAAGACCTGTGACTTCACTTTATAATGTGACATCTAAAAAATAAGCTCATAGAAGTGGACAGCAGAGCAGTGGTCACAGAAGCTGAGAAGGGCAGTAAAAAGGCTTGTAAGAGATTAGCTAACAGGTACAGAGTCACAGTGAGACAGAAGTGAGGGTTGGTGTGGTTCTGTAACACAAGGAGACAATGATAATTAACAGTACTATGTAATTCAAAACTGAGCAGAGAATAAATGTTCTCATCAGAGGCCATCTGTAAATTGGGTATGACATTAACTTAATCGTGGTTTCAATTTATAACATACAAAGCATTAGAGTGGCAAGCATGTTATAAATACTAATTTTAATGGTATATAAAGATAATTTTTCTATGATTATTAAAGTGAAACATTTTTTTTCATAGGAAATAATCCATTCTACAAATATTTACTGTGTAGATTCTGTTCTGTGTGCTGAGGATGGGTAAATAAGAATGCAGCCTGGCTTCTCTCAGCACTTACATTGTAGTAGATGACACATATTGAATATGCAGCAGCAGAAGTAGCAAGTCCTGATAAATATTATGGAGAAAACCAGAATACATAAAGAAAAAGAGAGATGGACAGGAAATGGGGCCATTTTAAATTCAGGACCAATAAGGCCTGAGGATAGTAAATATGATTAGAGAGTTTTAATTGTACTCCTGTCCCCTCTCATAACACTGGATTTGTTGGCACACATCAATTACCATGTCTGGCTTTTACTTGGGTGCTGGAGATCCAGACTCAGGTTGTGTGCTTGAATAGAAATCCTTTTACTCACTGAGACATCTTCCTAGCCCCATTTTTCTTCTTTTAAAAACATGACCTATGATGTTTAAAAACATGACCAGGGATAAGGGCACTAAGAATTAGGTAACTATGGCCTGATCTTTCCCCTAATAATTTTCTTCCAAGATATCCGCTGAAGCTAATGAGTGCCGAAAAATTGAGACTCTGGAAAATTCGGATCTGGATTTTGATGATGATGTCACAGAACTTGAAACCTTTGGAGTAACTACCACTAGTCCATCCAAGTCACCAAGTTCAGAAAGTGACTCCTCTGTACGCATCTTGACAGATGTCCACACAGCCCCCAAAATAGCACCTGCACCTGTGGCACCAGCTACTCCTGAGGTTCCAGCTACACCAAACATTACTGATGATTCTAGAAGCTTATGCCAGATTCTGATGAAACAATTACAGAAGGAGAAGCAGCTATTCTCTGGTGTGGAAAGTGGTCCTGAAGAGTGCAAAAATAAAGATGATCAGGGACTTGAATCATGTGGTGATAAGGTTCGAAGTGCCAGTGCAAAATCTTTAACACAAGATAATGAAGTACTTAAAACATCTGATGGAATCTCTAAAGAAAGCAATGTAGGCATACTTTGTACCAATGATGAAAGCCCAAGTGTTCAAGGGAATGTAGACAATGCCAACAAAACAGCTACCTCATCAGAAATAGCTGAAACTGAGAAAGGGCTTTCTTGTGGTAGTGATACAGATGAGGACTGTTTAATCATTGATACAGAAAGTAAAAGTAATAGTGATGGAAAGACAGCTGATGTGGGTTCTAGACCTGCAAGTCCAAATTTTTCAGCACAGGCTTCTGTGGAGAACCAGACCACTACTACTGTTTCTGAAGAGTCTTGTGTTTTAAAGAAACCTATCAAAAGAGTCTATAAAAAATTTGATCCAGTTGGAGAAATTCTAAAAATGCAGGATGAGCTTTTAAAGCCAGTTTCCAGGAAAGTGCCTGAGTTGCCCTTAATTAATTCAGAAGAATCTAAACAGCCATCTGCTTCTGATCAATCCTCTGCTACTTCAGATGCCTCTAACTGGCCAAAATCTAGCTGGCCTTCTGCGTTTCAGAAGCCTAAAGGAAGTAAGTGAATATCAAGAACTTACCAGTTTATCTATTCCTTTTCCTTAGTTTTTCTCCGTTCTTTCATACTATTGTAACCCATTTTGTAATTTTTACCCAGTCACTGACATTTCAGTCTGTTAGTCATTATTTCTGCTTCCACTGTGTCCTCTTTGTATATCTCCCCAATTTGTAGCTATACACACAGGTACTATAACCCAAAGGCTACTGTGCTGATGGAGGGGATCATAAACATTGACCCATCGAGACCTTCTGTACCTTCTGTAGTAGACTACAGAATGTGTGTGACAATACCCCTCTATCTGTCTTCTTGGTGCTTATCACCCTGGTGCATACTTTGCCTAGTGCTCATAGAGGTATGCATGAAAAGTGAAAGATTTTTAAAACTCTGGTTGCAGCTCTCTACTGCAATTCTTTAAGTAAATATGGCCCAAGGTGGAGAATTGACAGTCACAAAGAGAGTTACTGAGTTGTTGTATTCCAGATTACAATGCATAAACAGGTAGCCTATTGGTGAATGGTAATGAGGAATGTTTTTAAAGGATTGCCATATGAACTTCAAGACTATGTTGAAGATACATCAGAATATATAGCTCCACAAGAAGGAAATTTTGTGTACAAGTTGTTCAGCCTACATGACCTGTTGTTACTTGTACGGTGCAGCGTCCAGAGGATAGAGACAAGACCACGCTCCAAAAAACGCAAGAAGATCAGAAGAGTAAGTTATCTGAGAAGTTGTGATGTGGCAGTGTGAGTTATAATCCCAAATACTGAACATGGCATTCTAACAAAATCTCACTCCTATAGTTTTTCTGGGTAAAATTCTTTTAATAAGATGTTGAAATCAAGTTTAATAAAATACATACACCGTCATCATAAATGCTGGTAACCACCTTAAGTAGTTCATGTGAACTCTAGAAAAAGCATTATGCAGATTGATTTGACCAGACTAGCATTTATAGCCGGTGTATGTGTGACTTTGCATTTTCCTTGTCACCTATGAGCCCTTTCTTTACCCTGAGACATTTCTCAACATCTTTTAGAAATAGAAGCTTTAAAAGAATCCCAGAGTGTCAGGGCTGCTAGGGTGCCAGTCTCTGCTGTCTTTCCCCTGTGGCTCCTCTTAGGGCGTGATATAAAGTCTCAGCAAAAGAAGCAAATGATTGTTACAGTTTCTGCTATCCCTTCTGCAACTGAGGTGCTCTTTTAGGACACTTGGCACTCTGTCATGTGATTGTAGATACTGGAAAATAAAGAGAAGCTTTTGTTTTAGCTGATTGCTAAGAGGTACTGACTTGTCTTTTATTGTTTCTTAAAAGGAATTCTTTTTGAAACTACTATTTATTGAGAGAGAGAGAAGTGTGTGTGTGGTATGCATGCATATACATATTTGCATGAAGGCTTGGAGGTCAGAGGACAACTTTTGGAAATTGGTTCTCTCCTTCTACCCTGTGGGTTCCTAGGGTGGAGCTCAGGTCATGGGGCTTGGTGGGAAGCACCTGACCCATGGAGCCATTTCACCAGGCCAAGAGAACTTTTTTGTTGTTGTTGTTTTAAGATTTGTTTATTATGTATACAGTTTTCTGCCTGCATGTATCCCTGCAGGCCAAAAAAGGGCACCAGATCTCATCATAGGTGGTTGTGAGCCACCATGTGGTTGCTGGGAATTGAACTCAGGACCTTTGGAAGAGCAGCCAGTGCTCTTAATCTCTAAGCCATCTCTCTAGCCCCCAAGAGAACTTCTTAAATTGTGTTCTTTTTTATTTTATGTGCATGAGTGTTTTCCCTGCATGTTTGTGTGCACCAATTGTATGTACCTGGTGCCCATAAATGCTAAAAGAGGGCATTGGGTCCCTTGGAACTAGAGTTACAGACATTTGTGAGCTACCACGTGGGTGCTGGGAATCAAACCCACCCGGATCCTCTGGAAGAGCAGCCAATGCTGTTAACTACTGAACCATCCATCTCTCCAGCCCTGATTTTTGTTGTTTTGTTTTTAAGTCTTATTTCTATACTTATTTGTGCTATCATTTTTTGTAGTCAGCTTCATTTCTTTCACATTCTACCTTGTGTACCCATACCACTTTGTCTTTTTCTTTTCATATATATATACTCAAAAATTGTTGATGTATCTGCTAAGTAAAAATAGCCCAGGGAAGTTCTGGACACCAGTTTAATTTTTGACCACGACAATTTGGTAAGGATCATTGTCATTCACTCAGAAAGTGAAATTTATAAATGCCAAGCTATAACTATCTAGGAGAAAATTATTCATCAAGATGTCAAAACAATTGAGCCCCAAAGACTATCTAAATAGAAGTCTTATATTTCTGACTGTCAGTAGTAAAGCTTGAAAGTTTTTCAAGGAGTGCTTGTCCCTTGCATCTGTTGTTCATTATATGTGGTGGTTTAGTACAAATGGTATAATTCCCATTCTATAATGTATGCTCCTGGAATTATGTCCCATTTCTCTTTCTTAAATGTTAGCACCACAGAAACTCAGTAAATAGGTGAGAAGACTTGAGGGATGATGTCTGGGAATCTTGTAAGGAATTTTAGAGGGAAGTTAGTATCCACACTGGTTTGAAAAACACAGTCATTTCAGAATGTATCCTTGCAATATTTCTTCCCTACGAGCCAGCTTGTTCTGACAAGGTTTTCAAGTTTGCAAAGCTAACTCCTGGTGTTCAAGAATATCATCTCTGATTTTTTCTTAATTCTTCAGTTTTATGTTGTTGTTGATACCTTATTTCTTCAACAAAACTCTGCTGAATAATAATCCCAGCACTTGGGAGGCTGAGGCAGAAGGATTGTCAGAAGTTGAAGCCAGCTGCTGTACATAGTAAGTTCCAGGCCAGCCTGGGCTACAGCCCCTGTCCCAAAAAGGCTACCCCCTCCACCCCACCCACCAAAAAAAAAATTGTCTACAAAGCTGCCTATTAGGAGAGAACTTAAAATAGCAGCCAGTTTGAGGGAACAACAGTGAAGAGATTGATGTGAACCAAGACAAAGCTGGAGCTTACCAGTTCTGTGCAGAACTATGAAATCCAGGCCAACTGGATGGCTACTAGCTCTTGACTGTCCCAGTTAGCTACATATCCCAAGTACTGCATTCTAAAATGGTTAACAGGTTTACATCTAGTTACCCAAATATGTTGGCATTATAGGTGTTTTTTAAAAAGCTTGCTTAAAGGTGTAATATGTTAAGAATAGAAGTCACTTAGTGGTACTGAAGAGAAGACTCTAGCCATGAATTATTTTTTTAGGAAAGTACACAAGGGTTTAGGAGATTTATGCAAAAAGAAACAAGAACAGCTTTCACTTGGGCAGCACAGACTACAGCTGCCCTTCAAGGGGAATAAGTAACTTATATCACAAATCTTGATTGTGATTTACACTCCAATTGTTGACACTAAGGAAAAGAAAAATCCAGGCCCTTCTCATGGCCTCCTGGAGATGGCAGTAGAATACATACAGAAATAAAGTCAGATGTAATACTTAGTTTTATATCAAAGAAAATCACATTTCCCTCAAAAAACCAAAACTGTCTGTGTCTTGAAGTATATTTTCCATGCATAAATTAACACTGTAATCCATTTAAGATACAGAAAGATGTTCATCTTCCCTTTGCATCACCTGTTCTTTTCCTTTTCTTCAATCAATCATCAACTATGCCACTGAACATATGACTTAGCTCTCTGACATGAGGCTTAAGGCTTTTGTTTGGGTATTGATTTATTGTGTATATAAATGGTATATGAGCACTTTTGTACATAACATGGTTGCTACAGTATTCCACAAGTAGGTACTTGCTTGCACATCCACCCTTAGACTAGTAATGGGGATAGTTGTCTTACTCCATCTGCTTGATATCCTGACCAGTAAGCTCTGAATGGATAATTTGTCATATGCTTAGTGCTTGGAAGATTGTGTTGTAAAGATAGTAACATCCACAGTTGTTCTAGCAGGTATTCATACTCATTCTTAGGAAGAAAAGCAGCTGCTGAGTGACTGATGTCCAAAGTGGGGAGGGTCCTTTTTCTTTTCTTTTGAGAGGTGCTAGTCACTGCCTTCTAGCATTTAGCTCTGGACCTAGAACAATTGCATGTGCTGGAGTCCCAAGGAGTCTGCTTGTGAATCACATTATCTGGCAGAGAGGAAACATGATGCAGTATGTGGGGAGTTTGTCTGTCTGTGTTAGAGATGAGGGTGGTGGTGAGGAGTCCCTTATCCACCCTCTACTTCCTGAGTCTACTCCCAGAGACAAATGTATACATATCTTCCTGTCAAAAACCTACATTGTACAAAATAAATAAAATTAAATTTCCTGCAAATATTTGAAAACTGTTGGCTATATAGGCAAATGTATTTTCTATGAGTAGTAAATTTTGTTTTTGTTTGGGTTTTGATTTATTGTATATATGTATGGTCTGTGGGCACTTGTGTACCTTGGAGTATATGTGTAGATTAGATCTAGAGCTTTGACAAAATGCAATTTTGCATTACAGCAATTTCCAGTTTACGTGCTACCAAAAGTAGAGTATCAAGGTTGTTATGGAGTTGAAGCTCTGACTGAAAGCGAGCTCTGTCGCTTCTGGACTGAAAGTTTATTGCATTCCAACTGCTCGTTTTATGTTGGTGAGTCTATAGGAGTCCTCTTCCCCTTTGTAATTCCCTTTAAATATTTACCTTTAAATTCAGCTGTACATACTTCCATTTTGTCCTTTTTTGTTTTCCTCTGATTATGCTGACTCTGTAGTAAAACAGTGACAGGGAGTATTGGTTGTTACTAAATTGATTTACATATATTTTATAATTTTCTTAGAATTTTAATGATGTTGTCTTAGAAGTCTCATCTTGGAACATCTTTATTTTGGTTTTGAAGTTTTGAGCAGAAGGGAATTAGCAGGGATTTGAATGTTGTTGCCAGGGTCTTGAATAGTTAACATGCTTCACATGGCAAGTTTCTTGCTCTTACTGTTCATATTGTTCTTTCACATTGGAATGCTACATACTGAACATCTCTGTCATCCCTTGTCTTGGACTCTGCACCAATAGAGATCAATACAATATTGATCTGTCTGCCCTGCCGGGCTCCCATCTCCCTCAGTCTTTTCCTTTTTTTGATCTCTAAATGTGTTGTCTTTACTTGTTTGTTACTTCCTACATTACTGTTCTTTCTTAGGCCATCCCTTTTTCCTCCCAGACAGTAAGCATTTTAAAGTCAGAGCCTGGTAGAGATCTGTATGTTCTGGTACAAGCATTATGCTCTGTGTATAGTGAGTGCTCTGTATCTCTCTTGCCTGATCTAGAAACAGTGCTTATTTATTTGAAAATTTGCCCCCATTGCTGGAGTTGGTCCTGTGCTGCCTGCCACACTTACCTAATGTTTTAGGGCTCTCCTCCATTGTCAGACACAGCCAGACATTCATTTTAATAGCTTCCATCAGTAATCAGGATTCTAATGTTCCTCCAAAGCCTTCACTCCACAGCCTTCATGTAAGCATTTACATCCACTTGAGGAAAAGATTTTTTTTAACTTATCAGTGAACTTTTTACAATACTGATAGATGATGCAGACTCATTTTCCAATGTACTGTTTAACAGATAAAATTGCTATCAGTTGTATGACTACTTCACCTAAGAACTTTTTACAGGTCCTAAATAGTGTCTAACTAGCCTAAAGACCTGCTCATTGATACATATGCCTTTCAGTTTCAAGTGACAGGATAATGCATATGGTTTCTGTGACACTATTGAAGGACATGAGTTGTTGAGGACTTTGGGTTTATTTTAATGTAGATACTAATGGTATACCCCTTTCTTGTTGTCTTGGTGCTGGGGACGAACCCCAGGACCTGTGAGTGGTAGGTAAGCACTGTGCCTCTGAGCTGCACCCATAACCTAGGAGCAGACATTCAAATGCTGAGTAAGTACTCATCAGACAGGGCATGGTGGTGCACGCCTTTAATCCCAGCGCCTGAGAGGAAGAGGCAGGCTGGTCTACTAAGTGAGTTCCAGGCTAACCAAGGCTGTTACACAGAGAAGCCCTGTTTCAAAAAACCACACACACACACACACACACACACACACACACACACACACACACACAATCCATCAGTATTAGGAGTTTAAAAGTATTATAGTACTCTTAAGAAGAATGCTCAATGAAATCATTTGAAGAGCTTGTTAAACTGAAGATTGCTAGCACTAGTCCTAGAGTGTCTGATTGAGTAATACAGAATGGGACCTGGATTTTTATGTTTCTAACACAATCTCAGATAATAACACAGCTTGTCTAGGGCATTCTGAGAACCACCATAGCTCACAGTCTTTGGCTGAATAAACATACTTGTTTGGTTTTTTGTTTTGGGGTTTTTTTTTGCTTGCTTGTTTTGTTATATATAAACCTCCTTGTCTAGATTACAGTGTCTTTTGCCCATTAAAACCCTTAAGAGTTACTCCTTTAAGAAAACCTGTAGTCTCATCACTACTTCTCTACTGTCCAGTGTTACATTTATCAAATCCATAGAGTTGGCATTCAGTCAGTCCTCACTTTACATAGTTCTTACAAGCGTGACCTCTGTTGTGGCAGTATATTAAGAGTAAATATTACATATAAACTTCACTGCCAGTTCCTCAGTCCACTAATTATGAAGTAGATTACAGACATACATGAGCAGTGACTGCCTGTGTCCCCTCTTTTAGTCTGCATTGATCAGTCACTGTGTACCTCTTACTAGTTCGTGTACAGAAATCAAATGTGTAGTGTGGTGCCTCCTTGTCTTCCCATGGTCAGCCATTTGAGATTTTATGAGGATAAATAATGAAAATAAAGAATTGGCCAGAATTGAACAGAAAACCCACAAAAGGTAATGTTGTTGAAAATGAAATTGTAGTCAAACTTGCATGGAGCTATAGAAGAAATAGCTGCCTGGGAATGTTGACACTGTCACTGCTCAAGAGACTCTTCAGTCACTGCCAGAGAACTTGGTAATGACTAACCTATTGAACAGTGGTGTGACATCAAAGATAAAGTAACACCTGTATAAGGTTTTAATTGAAAGGAGTGCTTGGATTATTATGGAAGTTGATCCTGACTTAGATAAGAGTATGACAGTTGCCACAGTGGGGAAAAGTATTTCTCTGTTGGAAGCTGTGTGAAAAGGCAGCTTCTGGTAAGACTTTTTGGAAAGTGTAGAAGCATGCTGTTTTTGATGTTTTGAATTGCAGTATACTGAATGCATATATTTTATATTTTATTTCTCTAAATACTTACATTGATGGAGAATTTATTTTGATAAAACATGTAAAAATAGTGAAGTAACTGTAAAATTTCCCATTTATCATTGAAATACATGATTTCAGCCTGTGTAATCGTTTCTACAAACTTGTACTGCATGTAAAGCTAGAACTACATATGTATGGATTATGTATAAATGATGCGTGATCGTAAAGGCTTAATTTCTGCTACCTAAAGCAGTGCCTCCCAACTGTACCTCATCTTAAAGTATGATCTACAAAAAGAAGATTGCTTAGGACTGAAGGACAATGGTAAGAGCTTTCATGTCTCAGATCTGGCTCAAGTGCCCCAAGGGCTGAGGAGACAAGTATCTCAGGCACTGAAAGAACTCACTTGAGCCCTCAGGTTAGATAGCTCCAGTGTTGGGAGTTGCCTCCTTGAGCAAGTAAGCCTTCATAGAACTTAGGACAGGACTCTGTAGTTAGTTCTTTGACAAACTATTTGCTGGGTACTATACTACATACTTGTTGAATTTTTTCTTAAAAAAAGGTAAGTGCTATTAATAGTCTCAAAGGCTTATGTAATAAACATCAAAAATGCATTATTGCATTTAATATCCTCTTTCTATAGCTATTAAACCATTAAAATGTCTTTATTATTAGAAATGTCACATATAATGAGCACTAGAAATGGAGAGGTGAAACTAAAGTTGGCATAAGAAATAACAAGTGGCTGTGGAAACAGATGGATATGTTGTGTTAGAGAGAAGACATCTGGTAAAAATGTTTCTAATTAACTTCTTTGAGCATAAAGCAAATGATATTAAAGTAGGCTAGATATGGAAATAAAATATTAAACTATATGCAATTTTTGTAGTCCCAGTGACTAATCCTACTTCCTAAGTAATTTGTTTTGACAATAAAATATTAGGAGTTAAAAATATAAATAAATCTAAAACATTATTTTCAGTATTGGTGGGTGTTACTGTTGCACTGTAATGTTTTTAATCTTCATACAGTAGTAGTAGCATGGTCTTCCTGTTAACCCAACCATATGCCTCAGGGATCTCCTCTGTCACTTGTACATTATAGCACCTCAGTGTGTATCAGCCTATTTTGATTTAAAATATACACGTTACTTTCTCCGACAGAAATGTCATTTTAAGGATATAATGTTTGGGATTTTGTTTATAAATTATAGATTTATATCAGGCATGCAAGGAAATAAGACTTTAAATAGATTGCTTTACTCACAGAAGCATTTATGATTGCTTTAATTAAAAATAATCTATTTATTTTTGGTGTTTGTTTGTTTGTTTGTTTGTTTGTTTGAGACAGGGTTTGTCTGTGTAGCTTTGGAGCCTGTCCAGGAACTCTGTAGACCATACTGGCTTCGAACTCACAGAGATTCACCTGCCTTTGCCTCCCATTAAAAATAATCTGTATTTTTACAGTTAAGTTTTATAATAATGTGTCTTTGAGACTTTGAGCATGCCCAGTCCACAGATTTGATTTTTAACTGCTTATTTACCTGGTGAGTACATGCTTCCCTTTTACAATCATGAAGATGCAGCTTTAGTGGGAACCGGAAGCAACAATGGTTGAGCAGTTTATGATCTTAAATTAATGTGTAAACTTTCCTATATTCAAATATTTTAAAATGAATATGTGCCATAATTTGTATTTTATATCATTGTAAATTCAGGTTTACTCGATAGCTAGTAAGACATATATATATATATATCCTTTTAAATACAAAGCCCTTTATAGTTGTTAAAAATGTGTAAAATCATCTTTTTACGTAGAGAGACTAGTTAACTTTTTGATTTGTTTTACAAAGACAGTGACTTGGATTTCTTTAAGTTCAATGTTTTCTTTTAGGGCATATTGACGCATTTACTTCAAAGCTTTTCTTGCTAGAAGAAATCACCTCAGAAGAATTAAAAGAAAAACTTGCAGCACTCAAGTAAGGAAGTACTTTGTGGTGGGCACTGAAAAGACTTCACTCCTGTAATGTGATCTTGGATTTTCTTTTACCTCTAAACAGTGAAGGTGTTGATTACTTTCAAGATCTTGAGTCTCCACAACCCAATTTACATTATTTACCTCCATCTGCAAAGAAACATACTGCTAATAACATGTCTTCCCACTTCAGACAAACGAGGCTACAGCCAGAGAATGTGTTGTATTTAAAGTGCAGGAAAGGAATCATTCTAGCCCTGTGTAGAGGGGAAGGATGAGACAGCCACATACTCTCAGACATTGGGATTACATGACTGATTGGACTTTCAGAAGCCAGACTTATGAAAATTTGCCCATCCTGCCAAATGTTAGACATAACTAAGCAAGTGGTCATCAGAACTCTGAGGACCTCATTGTGAGGGAAAATAGTATATGTAAATTATCTCATTTTATCATGAAGGCTTGTGGTAGCATTTCATGTACAGAGAAGTTGGGTCTGAGAGTGCTCACTCCAGCACAGGCTGAGATAGAGCACAACCTTTGTAGTTCATATGCTAAAGTCACCTCTGTTATCTACAAAGCTTCGCTTGCTTGGCACAGCTCTGTGGGGGAACAGTCAAACTTGAACTCTGCTTACACTAGTGTCCATTCTGTAAGAACTGCTTTATATGTGTGCATAGAAAAGTCATGGCATTACTAACTAGGCCTTTGCTTCACTTCTCACAATGAAACTCTTTTTTTAAAGAAAAATAATGGAAATAAATTTATATGTAATGAAGCACCAATGAAATACCTAGAAAAATACTCTGCTTTCCCTTTGGCTAGTCTGTCCTCACTCTGTACTTCTCTGTCATTGCACATGCATTCAGTCAGTTTTCTTGGCAACTGAATACAACTGTTCTATAGTTTTATGTTATTTGGGTATTTTTAATTATATGAGTATAACTGCTCTAACACAGAGCCAAATACTTCATGAACATGAAAAGAAGGAATCTAAGCATAGTCTACTTGCTGGTCCTTATTCTGCATTATTAGCCTGCTGCTCATACATATTATTGGTGATGCTTTGCTTTCTAGGTTTGTTTGTTTGGTTTGTTTAAGTTTAATTTCACATCAGTTTCTTCTGTTTAATAGGATTTCAAGTTTATTTAACATACTCCAACACATTCTAAAGAAATTATGTAGGTAAGTACTTTGGGGTATTTGGCATAGATATTTTGTTTTTCTTTGCTGAAAATTATTAGAAGCTTTGTCAATATGTTGTTAGAGATAGATGAAAAAACCAGAAGTATACAAGTGTCTTATCAGAGTTAAAAATTCTCAAAATTTGAGTGAAAGATAACATGATAATGTCTGTCCGTAATGAAATTCCAAATGTATTTGTTTTGTTCATATTTCTCTCTCTCTCTCTCTCTCTCTCTCTCTCTCTCTCTCTGTCTCTCTCTCTCTCTCACACACACACACACACACACACACACACACACACACACAGAGCCTTACTGCAATAGCCCAGTCTGATCTCAAACTGTCAATCTTCTAAGATACATGAGTTTCATTAATTAGAAACTCAATATTTGAAATGTTATATTTTCTCTCTACCAAATAATCATTGGCCTCTGTATATGAAAGTGATTGAGAGAGGGAAAAGCCTCCCTAGAAGCTAATAATAATTCTCTGGACCTCCTTTGTCAACACCAGTTCCTTTCAGTTTTAAAAGTTAGTGAAAATGTAGCTTGTTATGTTTGTAGGCAGATCTATATAGCTAAAGCCAATCATCTTCATTTTAATAATGTGGAAAAGAACTGTTCTCTTTGCCACTTTGGCCTAGAGGCTGTGTGTTCCTAAGAAAACAGGGTCCACTGTCCATGTGCCTTTTGTTCTTTATGGTGATACATTGAATCCCTTGAAGCTTTCTAGTAGGCAAATAGATAAATAAACAAACAAATAAATAAATAAATAAATATGTAGTAGATTGGCCATCATCAATTATTGTGTTAATAGAGGATTGTGGTTGAGGCTCTGACCTGTGTGCAAACCATAAAGCTGGGTCTGATTGAAGCCCTACTATGGACAGATTGCTTAGCATCTCTCGTGTTTCTTTTGCCCAATTTGGAGCTAAGCTTGAAACCTTGTGTGAAGGATTTAATATGAAGGTGGATAGTGGGGCAAAACGACAGTTACTATTAAACACATAAGCCTGCTGCTATTTCTACATCCTTCCTACATGTTCCCTCACTTGTTTCTGACACTTTAGAGTCCTGGACATGTCACATTATCTTTTGTGTCTCTGTTCTCTTACCTATTAGAAACTAAGTACAATGTTGAATGAATGAAATGTATGGTTGGAGTATATTATGGATTAGAGAGTTAAATGGATTGTTTTTCCATTAAATGACTGACATTTACAAATTGATACAATAGTGAAAAGGAAATGGTCAGATATTTCTGAATTTTGGAATGAAAACGGTAACATTGGTTGTCAGAAGAGTATAAAGTAGTTTTAAAGGCTTCTGGAATCTTTTCTTTTACTGGCCCTGAAATGCTTTCAGAAGTGGCATGCCCTTCCTGTGGTAGCTCAGTTTTGCTCTGTGGGGTTCGGAGAATATGGGAAGATTAGCACTATAAGCCCGTGAGTTGAATTCCTGTGTTGGATGCAGCTTGCAGGACGGGTCCTACTTGCTGTCTCATGCAGCAGAAGATTCTTCACTCCTGATCTACAAAACTTCAGATGGAAAAGTTACTAGGACAGCATATAATCTGCATAAAGCACATTGTGACCTTCCTGGAGTACCTTCCAGTCTCTCCGTTCCTTGGGTTCCATTAGATCCCAGTTACCTGTTACCATATCACATCCATCATGGGCGGATACCTTGTACTTTTCCTCCTAAATCACTGCGCCCTGCAGCACAACCAAAGGTATGTTCTTTTTTTTCAATTAATATCCTATTTGGTTGTTGATTACTATCTTTTTCTCTGACTCTCTTCAATGAATATCTACATTTACCCTGGTAACCATCCAACATCCAAAACCTATGTCTATGTTGTAAGTAGAACTTCCCCTTTTATAAGTTTTATAAATCAGCTAAAGAAAGTAACCTAATCACAAAAAGACAAACATGATATGTACTCACTCATATGTGGCTTTTAGACATAGAGTAAGGGATTACCAGCCTACAGTCCGCACTGCCAGAGAAACTAGTAAACAAGGAGGACCCTAAAAGAGACGAACTTTGTCCCCTGGAGAAGGGGGAAGGGTCACGACCCCCTGAGCAAATTGAGAGCATGGGAAGAGGGGGGAGGGAGCTACGAGAATGAGAAGGGAAGAAGAGGAAGGATGCAGAGGTCATGAGGGAGCAGAAAGGTTGAGTCAGTTGTAGATTAGAAGAAAGGATATGTGATAAGGTAAGGTTTTAGTTGCGGGGGTGGTAGGGGAGGAAGGGAGGGAGAAGGGAACTGGGATTGTCATGTAATTCAATCTTGTTTATAATTCAAATAAAAATAAAAAAATAAAATAAATCAGCTAAAGAAATCTCTGCTAACTTGCTGTATGTGTGCATGAATGATGCATCCACAAAGTTTAGTGCCTGGTTTCTGTCCAAAGCAAACTTGTCTTCTCTTAGTTCTTCTTTATGTATATCATCTTCCATTAAACAATTGAGGCAATTTGCAAAAAAAGTCCATGTAATAAAATTATGATATAATTAAAAATTATTAGTAATATGGTGACAAATTTAAAGACAAGTATTAGTAATTAGTGAGTGAAGTGGCTTATTAAAAATACAGTAAAATATTAAGAACTAAATTGTATTATGATAAGTATTTTATAATTTAGGGTTTATTGAATTACTATTAATGTTACATTCATTATAAAAATCCTTCTGGAAATGTCAGTAGAGTCGCATTTTTCTTTCTTTCTTTCTTTTTTTTTTGTTCTTGAAGACCAGTTTCTCTGTGTTGCCCTGGCTGTCCTGAAACTCACTTTGTAGTCCAGGCTGGCCTTGAATTCGTAGAGATCCATCTGCCTCTGCCTCTCAAGTGCTGGGATTAAAAGGCTTGCATTATCACACCCGGCTGAGTAGTTTTTTTTTTTTTTTGTTTGTTTGTTTTTTTTCCTGGAATTTGAAGCCACAGCTGCAAGTACTCGCTATGATATCCTTCTATCATGCCACCCAGTCTTTATGTCATGTTATGTCTTGTAATCAGTTTTAGTTTGAACTTAGTTGTAGGAAGAATTTTGCTGTCTACAAATGAACCTAAATGTCCAGTGACCAAAAACACAGTGTATTTTCCTGCCCTGTTGCCCAACACCTTTGACTCAAATTACTGAGTTTTTTAATCTCTGTACTGTTCCCTAGGAGCTCTGATAGATGCACGTGTGTTTCCTGTGAACACTCTCTTCTCTCTTCCTTTCTCTGTTATGCCCAAGTAGTCTGTAAATGTCTCCAAACACTTTTGAGAAAATAGCTTTTCCTGTAAATCCCAAGGACTTTAATTGTTGGTGTTGTTTTTGTTGTTCACATTGGCTAGAATTATACATGTTGTTCAGTTCTCCACCCAATTTGTAAAAATTGTTCTATTTATTTGTCAATATTTTGGTGCTGGAGATTGAAGCCAGGCCCTGTGCATGCTAAGCAGGCATTTCACCCTGAAACATCTTTCCCATTCCTAGTAAACTTTGACAAGAAAATATAAACATGACGAACTAGTTGAGAAAATGAAAAAAATGGAGAAAGTTAACACTATCTTCAGTTTTGGTGACTATTTCTAGTTTCTAAATACTCTGAAGTAGTCATTTTTATGATCTAAGAAATTTCTTAAGTAACTTAAAAATAATTGAAAATGTTTTTGAAAATCTGTATTCTTTGAGGACAGTTTTCTTTTAATTTAGAAACACTAATTATAGTCTGTCAACTATAACATATAATTCTGTATGGGGATGTCTCATTCCTTTTTGGTGAAAATGAATGGTTTAATACCTTGGCACTGAACAACATTAAGTTGAAGAAAACATTTACACAGGGTGTTTCTAAAAGAAGTGAGTGATACTGTTATACTTTTCCGGTATAGACTGACTCCAAACATTGAATGTTTATGCCTTAGAAATACTTGGAAGATTTAACTTTTTCAGTAGAGTGGTCTAAATGTGCTGCAGTGTAACAAGAAATTTCATTTGGGCAAAGAGAAATTCTGTGTACTAAGGATTTGAACACATAAATATACATTCTAACAGTTCAGCCATGGGTATCACTAGACAGTGTCCAGTGCAGGCACACATGCTCTGAGTTTATCTGGGACCAGACACTTGCATAGCCCAGCACTGGGGACATAGACATTTGGATAACCAGTGTGCCTTGGAGTGTTTTCAAAGTCAGCAGAATTCCTCCTGCCACAGCTAGCCTGTCAGAGATGCATGTGTGTGTTACTTGAACATTGTTCTTTTTTCCTTTCTCTATTATACCCAATTAGTCAGTAAACATCCCAAAGCCCTTTTAAGAAATAACTTTTCCTACAAATTCTTAGGACATTTTAGTTGTTGATTTTTGTCAATTGTTGTTCACATTGGATAGGATTGTTTATACCATGCAGTTCTCTATCCTGATGTCACCTCCCTGCTGCCTTCCTAGCTGGGCCATGGAAACAGAACTTTAATAATTCCAACCAAGCTCAGCACCTGTGGGGTTCTAGCCTTAGCAGATATGCGGAAAGATCAGAGCTTTCTGAAAACTGGGAAGCCAAAGCCTGTGTGCAACAGCTGTCTGCATATCTTCTGGTATAGCTTCTCTTTGGTGTGATCTTCCATCCCTAGTTCTCTTGAACCAAATCCTCATCCCTGGACAGGGCCTGCAGTCTTCAACCCTGTTGCATACTCCAGTAGATCCACTTCTTCCTCCTACTGTAGCTTCACCACTATAGCTTCCATAATAGACATTTACTGAACACTCACAGTTTTCAGAGTATTTGTCTCTCTCAAAAGCCCAGTTAATGAGTACCTTCAGGAAAAATACTCAGTTGGGGGACTGACAGGTGTCTGAGAATCAGTGCATATTGGTCATATAAGACATGAGCATCAGAGACTAATAGACAGGCTGACTGACTAAAGCTCTGGTTTGCCCCCATTCTAGTCATGTAATTTAAAAGCAAATCCTAAAAGCTCTAGGAGAAAGTAGAGACACTAGATTCTGGTACTACATTCTTAGTGAACCACAGTACTAGCACTTTGATTGTTGAGCTAGACTGTGAGAGAGTGAGTTTGAATCACCACCGCCCTTACCTTCCCATCTGCAGGATTGACTGCATGGGATGTACAGAAACACTGCCTTTGTGAGGTGGCTAGGGGAACCTAAGGTCACTACAGGCAGCTTTGTGGAAATGGTCACAGGCTGTACAACTTTTGTCCCCTGTGAGGTCTCTAAGTGACCAGGAAGGTAACAGCATTTCCAAGTCTTCTTTTTAGCTAGGACTCTGATTAGCAGGCCTTTCCTCTTTCTGAGGTTTTAGGACCTAGGTGCAAGTTGGAGCAGGCATGAGGGAAGCTGATGTTACTATTAACTATGCCCATCTCCTCTTCCCTTCCCTGATTCTGTTGATGTCCTTTTCTCCTTCCATCCTCAATTTTCTTTCTTCTCTTGTTTCTCCCCTTCTTTCCTTGCACATTTTTTTAATTTCTTACTTTTTAAACTCTTTCTTACTCTTTGTCTCTTCCACCATCTTATCTCCTTGCCTTGCCGTCTTACTCTCTGTCCTCCCTTTGTCTTTCTACCCTTTGTGTTTCCTCTCCCTATCCTCACATTTCTCCTTTCTTCCTTGCCCTCCCACAGAACTTCACACTTTCGCAAAAGGTCTGGCCTTCCCTCGCTTTCTAATTTCACCTTTCAGCATCTTGCAAATGCAACAGCAGTTTACAGCCAAGCCCTGTTCCAGCTTCTTTCCTCATTGTTACCAGAAGTTTAATGCTTTTAAAACTGGGTCAGATTAAACCTTCTTAAATAGCCACATGGCTGGGACTTAAAAACTTACAAAAGGTCATTCCCAAATTGAGAGTCTCTGTGTAAATGATGCAGGGTTGTTTGTGTGCAGGCATGTTGTGAATGTATTAAGTTGTTCTGCTCTTCCTCTATCTCTTAGGTTGGTGGGACAAGAATGCCTACCCATAGCCACAGGAATCCAGTTTCCATGGAAACCAAAAGTAGTTGCCTGCCTGTTCAGCAAGTTGAAAATGAAGGAGTGGCTGGGAATAAAAGGAAAATAACGTAAGGACTGGACCGTGGAAAATGAAGTTTCAGAAAAACCATCTGTAACAGTGTTTAATGTTGAACTTTTAGGGGAAATGTGCCCGAAAAGTCAGATAGCAAGAAGAGTGTTCCCCCTTGCTCTCCTGGAGTTCTTACAAAGTGCCTTGGAAACCTACCAACTTCGGGAAGGGCAGTGACAGCAGAACTTAGTGTCCTTCCTCATCTCTGGTGCATGGAGAATCTAAAATGCTCCATTTACGTGGCTGTGAACTGAATAAGAAAAATATTTTTATAGTACGCTTTTCTAACAATCACAGGTAGGAAAACCACTTGCAATCTTAGGAACTGTCAGGTATTAAGTTAATAATTTGACTGTATTTCCAGTCTAATGAGCCTAGTCTAAAGGGTTAAACATTGCCACTGTTAGAAACAGCTGTGCACATTGTTTACAGCCCATTTTTGTCAGTATTAGCACTACTGTTGTTGCTTTTGAAAACCCGTTGAAATTCTATTGTGGACACCAGAAGTAAAAACAAGGAAAATAAATCCCTATCTCTGAAAAGTAGCAAATTAATATTTTTCTGCTAGGCAACCACACATGTGTTTTACAAAAACACTAGCATTCTGTGGTGTGACAACTTTGGTAAAAGTGCCTCTAAAACTTGGCACAAATTCCATCTGAGTGTGGTGAAACACTGCCGAAAGCAAAGACAAAATGATTCAGGCATTCCAGGAAAAAAGCTTGATCATTCTATCAGGCATGATTTAGGTGCCATTAAGCCTAGGATTTTGTTTTTCTTTTTTCTTTTCTCATTTATCCTGATTCATTCAGAAAGCAGCATCAGCAGTGGGTATGGCCAGTTTGGGTTTGAGGGGACAGACTTGTTCATTTTTTGTTACCTATTTTTTAATAAACACTAAAAGTATCAGAAATGTGTTTGCCATCTCAGACATACGAGATTTGTAATCCAAAGGCAATTTTCATGTTGTTTTTAGGGAATGTAGTGTGCGTGGGTGCATGTTTGTGTGTGTGTGTGTGTGTGTGTGTGTGTGTGTGTGTGCATGGAAATTATACCCAAAAATCAGGGTCTAGAGAAAGGGCTTATTGCAGAGGACCCAGGTTTGATTCCCAATTCCATGGTTGCCCACAACCATCTATAACTCCAGTTCCATGGGATCAGATGACCTATTCAGGCCTCCATGGGCACTGCATGTATGTGGTATAATGTATATACATTACATATACATACCCATAAAATAAAATTCTCTTAATTAAAAATAAGACCCAAATCCTCTAAAATATTTTAAACTGAAATTTTTATCTTCTGCTATCAAGTTTTGTTTTGAATTGATTTTTCTGAGAGATTGGTTGCCTAAATTATTAGTACACATTACTGTGTGGATTTTTTTGTTTTTGTTTTTGTTTTTAAATTTGAGACAGAGTCTATGCATAGCTCTGGCTGTCCTGGCACACAGAAATCACATGAGTGCCTCCTGAGTGCTGGGATTAAAGGTGTATGCCACCATGTCCAGCTACTGTATGAATTTTAATACATCATTTCTTCAACCTGCTATTCCCCCTTTAAAACACTTAGCTTTCCTCCATAAACTTTGTCACTTATGCATGTATCCAGAAATATTTTAGTTGTGACTCATCTGACATTCAACCTGGAAGTGTGGGGTAGGGAATCCCTTTGGAATTAGTTCTTTTCCAAGGCTGGTCAATGTTTGCTGCAGTCTGAATGTCAAATGCTTTACCTTGCTTCCTCTGTCTACAAGTGACTATTTTTCTAATTATCAAACCTGTGAACAATTCTGAACGCATGGAGCTGGTTTTCGACTGTGCTGAACAATATATTTGATGGTTTCTTTTATTGTTGGTTTTTAGCATAAAGAATTTTTAAGCAAGGTAGTAATGTTGATGATGCTATAGCAAAGTTTTTGTTGTTTTTTGTTTTTTTGTTTTTTGTTTTTTCAAGCTGGGGGTTAATTCAGTATTAGAGTACTTGCCTGGCATGCCTGTGACGAAAGGTTCTGTTTAGATGCATAGAAAGAAAAAGAGATATTAGGACATTATGAACCTCAACCTGGCTCATTTATTCTTTTGTGTGAAAGTATAATTATATAAACACCTTAGAAAACAAGTTCAAGAATTTGGCTATAGCATTATGTCATGAAATGCCATTAGGTCACCATTGTCCTCTTGTCACATTCAGACCTCACGATATTGTTTATGTGACAGTAGACAATAAGCTGTGGAAGGAGAGGGGCATATTAGTTCATCATTAAATTACAATACCTAGTATAGTATAGTATAGTATAGTATAGTATAGTATAGTATAGTTGCCATGGTCAATAGATACGTGTTATATTCAGGAATGAAGAAATAAATAGATATCAAGGATAGATGGCTACATGAAACTCTGTCTCAAATTAGATTTTTCTTTTCCTTGTAGGTGTACATGCTAGTAGAGGAATTTGTGTGGTGAGTGCTCTGATAAAGTAATTTTTAGACGTCATCTTGGGCTGGGGGTATGTAGTTCAGTGGTAGAGAGCTTGCCTATACTTCAGATCCTGAATCCCATCCCTACCACTACAAAAAGAAAATAAAAAGACATAGCACATAGCCAAGTCGTGGTAGTTAAGGGGTTTCTGAACTAAAACTTCAGCTGGTTATTATTATTATTTTTTAATGAATTGGAGTTAGAGAAGGATAGCTGCAGAATATGAAAATGTGAAAGGTAGCCAGAGCCTAGGCTGTGAACATGGAGATAACCGAGCAAACTGCAATTCTAATACTGGAATCCTATCCCACACAACTTGAAAACCTGTAGTGAAGTTTAACAAATAATGTGATCAAGTGTTTGTCTGAAAAGGGCTTTTTGTCAGCATTAGTCTACAGAATGCACTGCAGAAAAGTTTAATGTTGTTAAGTAGGATTTGAAATTTTGAACGGTCCTGAATTAACAAGTCAGCACTGTCAGTCAGGTACAGCTTGCCTAGAAGCATTGTAATGCTGGGAGAATGATGGTGTTATTCACTGGAAAAAAATAAAAGTGTGGTTAGAAAGAGAAGGAAGCACACTGTTGCTTCAGCTGTTTCTACTCCCTGAACTCTGGCTTTAAATGCTTTGTTGCTGAGTGTTAGTCACTTAATATGACATGCCTAAATACCAAAGACCAGAGTCCAGGTGCAGCTCAGCCTGCCGCCCTAGGTTTGAGGGCTCTTCTGTAGCTACAGTCCTATTGTTGGCTGGAGACATCCACTTCCTCCAAGCCAAGGTTCACACACTTGTATGTAGGTGGAAGGCCTTGGTTCTTCTGTTGCTTTTTGTCTGGACTGCTGTGTAGCACAACCCAAATTCTTCACAGTACCATAGCCTGCACACCCTAACATTAGCAGCCCCAGAAAGGAGCAACAAGGAAGTGACGGTGTCCCAGAGCTCAAGCACTGACTTTTGCCATATTCTCTTGGCTAGAAATAAGTCACTAAATCCAGTCTCAAATGCCAGTTCTGTGAGGGAAGAAATACACAAAGACTATGTGAACCCATTAATTTAAGTAATGCTTATTAATTGAGAATTTCATAGTATGTTTTGCTCATATTCACTCCCCCTCTCCCAACTCTTCCTAGATTCACCCCACTTCCCTACATACTCAACTTTGGATCTTTTGTTTGTTTTTGGTTTATAAGCATATCAATTCCAATTTGTGTTATCCAGCTACTCTTGGTTATCTGCCTACCCTAGAACATGGTCAACCTACCAACTGACTCCCTCTCCCAGCAGCTATTAGTTGTCAGTAGCACAATAATAATTTTAGGGATAGGACTTCATTCCCACCTCCACTCAACCATGCTGGGATTTGTCTGGCTTGAGCTTTTGTAGCTCTTGTGTATGCTATCACAATCTCTGTGATAGTTCATATGTACATCTGCCTTGTTGTGTCTAGAAAGGATTGTTTCCTTTCAGTTGGTCACCAATATGACTCTTAAAGACTTTCTACCCACTTTTCCATGAAGATCCTTGAGCCTTGTTGAAGACAAGTTTCTGTTCTGCCTGGTCCGGCTGCCCTTCAGCCCCAAATGAACACAAAGAGACTTAATCATAATTTATAAACTGTTTGGCCAATGGCTGAGGCTTCTTATTGGCTATCTCTTTTAGTTATTAACTGTTCATCTAAGTATTCCATGTGGTCTTATTTTACCAGAGAGTGGTCCGGCGTCCTATCTTCCCGACAGCTACATGGTATCTCTTTGGCAGCTTCTTCCTCTCTCCTCTCTCCAGAATTCTAGTCTGGTAGCCCGCCTATCCTTCCTGCCTGGCTACTGGCCAATCAGTGTTTTATTCATCAACCAATCAGAGAAACATTTATACATAAGACCATCCCCCATTACCTTGTAGGGAAAGGTATGTTATAAGCATCCCATTTAGGAATGAGTGATTGCTATGCTCTGCACCAGCTGTGTTCATTGCCATCTGCTACAAGAAGTAGCTTCTCTGATGAGGGTGGAAAGGCGCATCACTCTATGGCTTTAGCAGTAAGTCATTAGGAGTCTTTTTATATAGTATACTATAACCATTTAGCAGAATAATGGTAGATTAGGGCCTGTGATTTATCTAGCCATAGGTTCTTGACCCCATTAATAGTGGCAGGTATGGGTTCTACCTAATGGAGTGGAACTTAAATCCAGTCAGACAATAGTTGGTTATTCCTATAGCATTTGTACCATTATTGCTCTAGTGGCCATATCTGGCCAGTACAGTTGTTATGGTAGATTATAGGTATGAATCTATTTTTAAAACACCATGCATGCCATGAACACATTTAGGGGGAGTAAAAGAATTAGACTTAATGTGTAGAAAGAAAAGACTTTAAACAAGGAATTACTGTCTTAGCACATGGGAAGCTAAGACAGGAGGGTTTATGAGTTTGAGGTCAACATGGGCTGCACATCAGGACCCTGATTCAAAAGATGTCAGTTACTGTCAACGCATTAAATCTAAGATAGAAATTACTTATGTCTTAAAGATTTGAGCTCAAGCTAGAAGCCACATCAATACAGATTTCAGAGTCACTAGTGTATCTGTGGTGATTGAAATTGGAGCAAAGGGCAAGATGGATCAGCAGAAATGAATAAGAGAAAAAATAGCAGGGAAAAGTGGACATTTTGGTTGCATTAGAAAATGCTCAGAAGTTAAGAGCACTGGCTGCTCTATCAAAGGTCCTGAGTTCACCTCCTGGCAACCACATGGTGTCTCATAATCATCTACAATGAGATCTGATGCCCTCTTCGGCATGCAAGCATATATGCAGGCAGAACATTGTATACATAATAAATATTTTTTTAAAGTTTTCAAAAAAAGAAGAGAAAATGCTCTTAGAATGGCAGGAGCATATCAGGATGCAGGGCTAGCTGAACGGAGTCCCAGGTCTAAGAAAATTTGAATATTAAATGACTATGGTAATCATCTGCAACCTTCTGAGTAAAATAGTATATTCAAGAGTCCACACTGACCATAAATGAATAAACAAACAGGAGGGGACATTCAGTTCTACAGTAGGCCAACCAACAAACAGAATGACAGTTAGAAAAATCACCCATTCATAATTGCTAGAGTAATTTAGCAGTCAACAGATATTAAAGTAGTGAGAGTTTGGTGATAAATAGGAACAATTACATAGTCTTATTTAAAGAATCACCCTGAAAATTGTTTATGATTTGGTGGCTATAGTGTGTTTATCAGTTTACTTAAGAGTTAAACATAACAGAAACTGTCCTAAGACAGAACAGAAGGTAGTCACTAGTAGAGACAGGAACATAGCAGGTGTGTTTCTTAGTTTGCACCAGGAGAAAGTACAGTGTCAGTAATGTGGCATCTTCCTGGCATAAAGGTGTTCATCATGAGAGACACTCAGAGAACCCAAACCAGA